ATTGGGGCGGGCTCTGTAATGTAGCCTTTTGTGCAGAACGAACCCTCCCAGTAGGAGTGGAGAGCGTGTGTGAGTGACTGAGTGTGTGTGTGTGTGTGTGTGTGTGTGTGTGTGTGAAGAATGCACACTATCTCGTGTTGGTGAGTGTGTGCTTACTCCCTGACCAGATGCTGCGGTGCGCGGGGCAGCCACCGGCTCTGCGTGCGTGTCTGTGTAAGTGTCTCTCTCTGTGTGTATGTGGTGTATGTGCCTCTGTCATTTCATGTCAAAGGTACATTACCTGATTACCTTCCTCGCCTGCCAGATTTTTATCTAGATAATTGGAACTGCTATGGAGGCTGTGCCTTGCCAGCCAGCCTAGGATCTGTAAAGCCATAGTTTGTCCACCTTGTTATCTGTGGCTGCCTGGGCAGAGGAAATTAAAGAGACCCACAGCCAGGGGAGCGCTTCCCACCCCTGACCTCCCAGCAGTCCCAGGCAGGACAGTTTGCTGGTCGCATCTTTTTGTTTTCTTTTTGTTTTTGTTGTTTGGTTTGTGCTTTTTGTTTCCTCGTGTGTGTGTGTGTGTGTGTGTGTGTGTGTGTGGTGTGTACGCGCGCGTGTGATTTTGGCATGTGGATACCTATTCCCCTCCACATCGCACACCGCGTTTTATGGAGTTTGGAGCTGAGGAAACTTTGCTTGGGTTGCCAGGACGTTCGCACCACTTTGTGGAAAGCACGGGCGAACAGTGAGACGGACAGAGTGAGTGACAAGTTGTTTACAGGTTTCCTTGAAGGGGCCTCTGCTATATTTCAATCTGTCAAAGTTGCTTTTCTTCCCTCAGAACAATGCCTGATTGTTGTGTGCGAGCGTGTGTGTGTGTGTGTGTGTGTGTGTGTGTGTGTGTGTGTGTGTGTTTCCGTGTGCTCACAGAGAGAGCCTAGGAAGGGGTGAGAAGGAATAACAATTCTTTGTGTAAAAAAGGCTATTGCTATAATTTCTTTGCTTAATAAGTTAATAATGCAGTTTGATCGGGGTTCTGCTAGTGTGCAGATTTCTCTTTTAATCAGCAGCGAATGCATTTTACATTTTAGAAAAAAACCATGCTGTGTGTGTGTGTGTGTGTGTGTGTGTGTGTGTGTGTGTGAAAGAGAGAGAGACAGACTTTTATTATTTGGAGGAGAAAGAGTATGGGAAATGTGTTAAAGGAGTTGACTCCTCACATTCGGTGATGTCTAGAAGAGAGAATTAAAAGGAAAGGACAGGCACCCTGAGGTTGTCTAGTGCCTTGCAGCCCTAAAGAGCATGCAGCCCCGTGGAAGGGGGAGCAGCCAGACCCCGCTGCTGGAAGTGCGCTACCCCTTTAAGAGACTGGTCAAGGAGTCCTAGGAGAGGGAGGGGGGATGAGGGGGAAGAGAGAGAGAGATTGAGAGAGAGAGAGAGAGAGAGAGAGAGAGAGAGAGAGAGAAGAGAGAGAGAGAGAGAGAGAGAGAGAGAGAGAGGAGAAGAGAAAATCAATTGGTTTAGAAGGTTTGGACTCACTTGACAGGTTCAGTTGGAGACGATCATAGGTGGCTGCTGTGACAAAGGGAAATTGTGCTTTTCCAGCATGCTTACTGACCCTGATTTACCTCAGGAGTTTGAAAGGTGAGTACAGTTTTTACCCCCTAATATATTGAAGTACAACTCTCCCATTTTACAGTCGTCTCTGAATCAATTGGAAGATGCTGCCCCGTTTGTTAGAAAAGCTTTTAGCTCAGTGTTTCTGCAATCTTGTTAGCTGATTTTTAGTGGTGATTGCCCGGACCAAATTGAACTGATTTGTAAAGTCTCTGAGATTTCAGTGTTTTTAGGTTGCGTCCTATAACAGGAAATTAAATGAGCATTAAGCATCTCTCTCTCTCTCTCTCCCTCACTGGCTTCTTTTCTCTTTCTCATTCACTCTCTTACTTTCTTCCTTCATTGATATTTTTCTTCTCTTCTACACCTTTTTAAGTGCTTTTGTGCAGAGTTGTTAACCATTTTCAACATCTCCGTCTGGCAATTCCTGGGGTGACAGAAGATTTTAGTGGTGGTTAAAACGGAGGCTGTAAGTTCCTATGTGATCCTTCGTAAAACTTTGGAAGCTGGTCAGTAAAGCACATGACCTTTTGTTGATATAAGAGAGCAGATTATTTTAAAGAATATTTAATATTGCAGCAATCCCTTAGATTACTTTTGAAATGTCAAAAAAATAGGGAAATGGGATGATCCCTTTCTAAGTTTTCGTGACCGCTTTAAGCACTGCTGTCTTAAACTAAATTTTGATTTACAATATATCCCCTCTTACTCTAAGGGGAATACGTGTATTTGTAATTAAGTAGTTCCTATTTGGAGAAATATGTGCAATATCCTTCTATTTGATGTTGATGTAAGTGAAGCAGGGCTTTGCAAGAATTTTAGCCTTCTTAGTGTTCCTATAAGTTCACATTGAAAATTTTTTTAAAATTTGAGTTCTTATCCCAGCATGAGTTCATTTTTAGAACTATAAATAGAATTTTGTTTGCCATTAAAAAGAATTCAAACTTTGTATTCTGTATGGTGAATTTAAAAAAAAATCTAAAAAAAGCCAGGATGCATAATACCCAGGCTTTTTTTTTTCAATTTCATGAAAGCTACCTTCTGTATAAACATTTGTTGTATCTGACTATGCAATGCAAGCTAGGTGCTAGACCAGCTGGTTAAAAATATGCTAAGTCAAGCTGTTCATCGCTCAAACAACTGAATTTGATATGAAAAGATGAAAAAAGAAAGGACAAAGATTAAGACATTCTAGAAGTGAAGCAATTGAAGAGAAGGATATTAAGAATAAAATAATGTTTGATGTGGCCAGAATTAGAGAAACCAATATCAGATCAGGGAAGAAAGTAAAATAGCCAACATTTACACTTTAATACTGTCTTCTTTCTTTCATTTCTTCTTCGTCTTTTTTTTAAATTAAGGTGAATCCTCACTAGATAATATCAGTGAAAGGTTGTGTGTTCTTAATAGTTTGAATTCATCTTTTCAAGTTTTATACATTAACTCTTTCAAATAGTTTTTGTTTGCAAATATAGCCTATTTCATATGTATATGTTGACATTATTGATATTGGAATATAATATTGCTTAATGTAGCAGTTTGTTAATATACAACAGTAACTTTCCCAGCATGTGCTCAGGGTATCACTGAAATAACAGTATTTTTCAACTCTATACTTTTTGAAAATAAAACTCTGAGTCTGATTCGTAAGCATGTTAACAGACTGTTCTTATAAAAAGGTAGTTACATATTAACAGACTGTAGCCTATTTCTCTATATAGGCAAGCTTTCCTGCTGTGAACTTTATTTGTATTTTTTTCAGTTATCTCTTTTAAACTAAACTTTTACCTTTCCTATTCTGATGCTCAAGTCTCTTAACAATTTTTTTTCCTCCTGATTAGAATTTCTTTTTGTTGTTGTTGTCACCTAGAGGCATGGTTTTCTAACTGGCTAATTAAATAAGCAAGTGATAATCAATAGAGTTGTTAGTATAGACAGCATGTTTGGCAATAGTAGTAGCTAAAATAATTTTGAAAACTGTCATATAATATAAAATTTCTTAATAATTTCCCCTACGGTTATACGTGGTAATATATACAAAAATCTCAATAAGTTCATTACTATTTATTTACATTGAATTTGTATGAGTGGGTGTATATATACTCATCTCATAGCATATATAACTTGCAGATTCAATAGTGAATACATATATTCTCCAAAGGAGGTATATATTCTATAACTATACTATCACATATAGTCAGGTTTTCTTTGCGTTTTTCAAATATCTGCAACTTTCATTGAATAAGTAGGGTTTTTCCATCAAGTGCTAATTTTTATTCTATTTATTCACCTGCTATAGTGAGTTGTTCTCTCAAACTTAGTCTGAAATCTGAAGAAAAGACTTCTAAATTTCTTTGTGAGATCGAGAACTTTGCTCTAGAGGATATAAACAAGTAGCTTAGTGGTCATGTATTTTGAAAGTTTTATGTGATCTTTTTATCTAATTTTATTTATAGAGCCATGCCAATCTTCTGTTATTCTCTGCAACCTGTACACTAGTTGGAACTTTAAGGAATATTCAAAACTTAAAAATCAGAATCAAAATTTGGATTTATACATGTTATGTGTGTATTACCAGCCCTAGAAATGTATATGGTCAGTACTGTCAGACTAATATGCAGTTGTTAAGAAATTCAAAACTAGTAGCAATTTCATTGACTGTTAAAAAAAAATGTCCAGGAGGAAGAGCAAGTTAAAGAGTGATTCTAAAATGTAAAAGAGAATTGTTTTTACTTGCAAGCGTCCTTGTCATAATTGATTATGACTAATGAAAAACACAATTCTCAGGTGGGAAGTGAATAGGCAAAGTATATCCTAAGGAATTGTTTGTAAGCAATTTTAGAGGGAACATAATTGGCAACATGGTCTAAATGTTAGCAATAGAGTCATAAAAGAATGAAAGGCTGAACTCTCCTAAAATTTTTAAAAGAAGAGAGAGAAATCATATATTTCCCTGAAAATAAAAACATTGTGAGGTAAGAATTTTCCTTTTCTAGAAGGAAAATATTTAAATTTTGCCTTAAATATTAATATCAGTTTATTTTTGATGAATGAAAAAAATAAGTTTTTGATACTATCATCACAATTGTATTCTATTTCGTTCCTTTATAGTTATTCTATTTGATAATATAATAGTGTTATGACTAAACTACGTGTCACTTTCCAACTGCTTTATGTCAGAGACTTCAGTAAAAAGCAAGGATAAGATGAGAGTTTAAGAAAACAGTTTCATAATAAATAGAGAAATTGGGATTGAACATAGTAGGATGCAGCAAATTAAGTTCATAGTATCACCTACTTGATTGCTTCTCTCAAAACGGGTGCAGACAACGATTGCGTATTTTACTCAGTCAGAAGGTCTTACTCTTCTGTAATGAAAATCTAACTTATATACCTATCATATTTATTTGTAGTCACATTGACTAAAGAGACAATTTTTTTTTCACAGTAAGAAACTTTTAAGTGTTTTTCTGAAGCCATATACATAAGGTATTATGAAAAACTAATTTGTTAAACTACCATGAAACATTAGTATTAGCGGTCTACAAGGACCCCTCTAACATTAGCAGTACTTTAATTACCTAAAGTGTAGCCATAGTTATAAAATACTTATTACTCAGACAGATTTATGTGACTTAATTAGGGACTGAGAAAATAATTGTACTAATGTGATAAGACAGCCATGTTAGCAGGTAATCTCTAGCTGTGAATCGAAGGAAAGTTACCTGATCACATTCTATCACCTGAAGGCAACCATAAACCTATAACTTTGACATTATGTTTTCAGGATGTTCTGATATCTACCTTTGTTCATTTTGTTATTTTTTTATTTACTAATACTTTGTAGAGGAAAAGGTACCTATCATTGATTATAGATTTTAATTACCTTCTCAGTAAGCCTGCAAGTTAACTGAGCTATAATAGTAGCTTGGAATGCAGCTTGCTTGAAGCAATGGGCAAACTGCACTTCTGTCACACTCACACTGGAGTACGGTCCTGAAGGGCTTAGCAGAGACCTGACTGAGTACCAAAACAAGCAAGGGTTAAATGTCAGGTGGCGTTGTATTCTGCTCAGTGTTTAGCAGATTAACAGATATAGAAATGTGTGAATGTTATGATTACTTCACATGTTTCTCAAATATAATAAGCATATGACAAAGTCTTTACCTGCTCTTAGGGAGCTTTTAACTAGAATCTGTATATGCATCAGACCTGAGAGGCAAATTAAATGACCTATTCTAATACTTCAGCACATTACTTCTCCACAGAGCTGGAAGCTATTTCAAATGGTTTACATTTATAACGCATTTAAAAAACAAAAGTATGTTTATGGATAAAATCTGATCTTTATTATCTATTGTTTCCAATTCTCCAGCCTCCTAATGAGTATATGCATAACGCAGATATGTATTCTGTAGGTTGAACACCTTCCTTTTTATAGATTAGTTAACTAACTATAACGATGGATTTTTGCTTTCTTCTATAATTTGTTACTCATTTATCATTTCAATGAGGTCAACTAATAAGATGGGAAATAAACTAATATGTTTCTCTTGTACTAACTAATTCACATATAGTTTATTATGTCAGTTCTCTGACCCAGATGATGGCAATCAGATAAAAAGATGTTCATAGATTTAACCACAGCATGAAATACTTTCCTTCTAATGGAAAGAAATTTGTTGAACAAGAAATGGACTAAAACATAGCAAATTCTTTCTTGCCTCATTCATTCCGCCCTTTCCTGTTCATCAACTGATAGCATCATCATTTATATTAAACACAACATTTGAATGTTAACTGCATGTAGTGGTATTGCTAGCCTATAGTGTGACACAGACGAATGAGTGGCTTTGCTAGAGAAGAAAACATTTAAAGACTACACTGTGTTCCTTCAGGAAACAATATTTATTTAGACACCCTTTAGGAGGATGCTACACATTCCTGCCTTTTAATCAAGACCTGTTCATGGTTCAGGAGAAGACCTCTTACTGTCTGTTTTTATCATATGTTTTCTCCTGCAGTTG